CAGCTCTGACATTTTGTTCCTTTGAATCCTTCAAAGCACTGTACATAGTACAATGCACACAGCAGGGATCTAACAAATACCTGTTGGTTCATTGAGTCCGTAGGTTAGACTATGCATTTATTCTTTGCCAAAACTCGGAGAAAAGGGTATAAAATGAGATTAAACTCTTCTTTAGAGAATTTAATGTTCTGATTTGGTAGATATTCTAATTAAAAGAATGTTAGCATTTCTCTATTGTATACATGGATCTATGAGTTTTCAATTGATAGATTTTCATTCAATCTTATTCCAATTTTTTTCCCCAAAAAAATCAACTTTATTCAATTTAAAGAATAAGACCCACATTAAAACCGAACTGAGTACAATCGAGTCTCCTTTTGACGATTCAAAAGCTACTCCAGGTCATCATTCCACATATTAATTACTGTTTGTCTTACAATTCTCCACTACTCTTATCGTGAAATATTGTATGTTATATGTATTAGTCTTTAAGGCACAAGATGTGGCATAAAGGGCACATGTAGCAAGAAAAGACAGGCCAGTCTTACATCGAGGGACAGGGATGACATACGGAGGATCTAATGTTGGATTGGTGGTAATCATCCAATATTAAAGAAAATAAAGGAAGATCTCAATGCATTGGGTAGATTCTCCATGGAGACTGACATAAATTCACTAATGAGAATTACATGAATGAGAAAGTTCGGGGAAGTTGCAAGCTTTGCCAGTCAAGGAGATACTTACATTAAAGAAAGCGCAGATCTCTCAAACTACCAAACTAAGTTATCTGTGTTTATGGCTTCATCACCTACTAGAATATAAACTCTATGAGGTCAGGGACCATAGTTTCTCTAAACTTTCAAGCTCACTTAGCACCTAGTACACTGCTCTGTTACCTACATAAGATACTTGGTAAATATTTGTAGAATACATTAGAATAAAGTAATTTTAGAGCTGCAAGAGATCTTTTGTTGCTCTCGTTCAGTCATATCCAACCTGTGGACCACAACATGCCAATGCTGTCCATCAGATATTCTTGGCAAAGAAACTGGAATGGTTTGCAATTTTCTTCTCTAGTAGATTAAGGCAAACAGAGATTAAGTGACTTGCCCAAGGTCACACAGCTAGTAAATGTCTGAGGCCAGATTTGAACTCAGGTTTTCCTGACTCCAAACCTACAGCTCTATCCACAGAGCCATCTACCTGCCTCTCCAAGAGATCTTAGAGTTCATCTAATCTAATACTCTCATTTGAAAAAAAAAAAAACAAGAAAACTGAGGCCCAGACAAATTAAGTGACTTTCTGGAAGAGGGAAATTGAAAAGCCAGCTTTTGAACCCAGGTCCTCTGAGTCCAAATCTAGTGTTCTCTCCATTTGTAACATACTTGGGGGGTGGAACTAGTTATCTTAGCTTTCTAGTTGTTTAGAGTGCAGATAAATGGAAAACCTATGTAAATAATAGTTCCATCATAAAAAATTTTATGATGCTTATCAGGTGATCCTGAGCAATTCACTTAAACTCTTTTTGTGCCTCAGTTTCCTTATGTGATCCCATGATCCTTCTACAGCACCAGAAGACCTACAAAGTGCATTTCCTCCCAAAAACCTGTGAGACAGATCATGCCAGTATCATCATCTGTGTTTTATAAAGGAAATGCTGCAGGCAGACTGATGCAGTAACTTGCTGGAACTGATCAACTAATAAGTGACGGTGTCAGGATTTGAACCCTCATCTTCTAATTCCAAGTGCAGTGCTTCACACCTCAGTTGCATGACTCCCAGTGGGTGCTCTGAACACCTAATTTAAGTTCATAGTTCTAGTTACATGATGTATTTTTATTTCTATTTAAATATGAAAGAGGGAAATATGCATCCAACTTACTGACCTTTGTTTTAAGAAAACTCTTAACAAGACACGGTCATTTCAACCTTTACCATGAGTTATTAATAAAACCCAATGTCTACCCAAAAAGATAAAAAAAAACCCTATTAAAACAGGGAAAGATTCCCCCACCATCCAGGCAAAAGGATTATTTCTCCAAGGATGACAATAATTATAATCTAAGGATGTTAAGTCCTGCAACCAGCCAGTGAAATGGCTTTTTCCCCCCCATCAGCAGAGCACAATGGATTCCTTAAACTTAAACAGTCACCTGAGAGGCAACTGGCTGTCTTGTCTGCAACAAAGCAAAATCATTCAGGGGCCCTCCTGTAAATTGGAATTCTCTGTGTTCCCTATGCCATGGTTTCAACATACTATAAATATACTGCTTTTGTGCCATAAATGCAAAGTTTTATTGTGCAGTTAGCCTTGATAGAAGGCACTGCAGAAAGTTGTTTAGAAATTAAATATCTAAAACAAGCTATTTTGAAATCCAGAGCCCTCAGTATTTCATGTCTGAAATGAAGAAATTTCATCTTAGGGAGAGCAAGCTGTCTTTCACACCATATGGCTAATGGTAGTGCATAGCAATTAGCTGGGCTGATTAATGGTGAACAGACTCTAATTTTATGCTTATAATTGAGGCTGCATTTGCACCCCTGGTGCAAATTCAGCACATCCCAACTTCCACTTACAACAGGCAAGAAATCAAGAGAAATAGAATGGTGTGGAGAGTGAGAATTTTTTTTTCCTTGAGCCCCCTAAAGAGCATCAGATTTGCAATTTAAAAGAGTGTTAGCAAGACAATAGATGACAGATTTGTATAATAGGGTCATGGCGGCCTGGTAAACAAACAGTACCCCTTACAAATCTATAGGCAGCTAGGAAAACTGTAATCTGTAACATTAGCAATATGACATTTTGAATACGGCTTTTCTCTATCAGCCTTGCAGCAAACATCATAATTTGCCTTCAGTGAGTTGAGATTTTTTATTTTTGCTATTTTATGTTTTTGAAAAACAGAAAGAGCACCCTTAGTAAAGCAAGCCAGCCAGCATAATAAAGTACTTTGGACCAATGAATTTTAGAAACAAGAAAAATATAAACTGCATTAATAGAGGGTAGGCCTACATGTGAAAGGCCTAATACATCTTTAAGTATTTCAAGAATGGAATTATTCTATCTAGGTCCAAATATATGCAGATAGAAGATGCAAATCTGTGAAATACAGACATTAGCAGGCCTATCTAGTTAAGATCCATTCTGCTGTTTATTACCTACTTGGCTGGAATCACAGGCAAAGGAACATGGAAACTCCATACTAATGACGTGCTACTTGAGGGTAGTTTGTATTTTTTCAACACAGTAAGTGGCCTAAAATTTATGAAGAGGTTAATATTTTCAAAAGGTCCTACATCACAAAATGCATTTAGCTGGTTTAATTCTGAAACAGCAATTCAATTTTCTTTTATGAAATATATCTTTATATTTTGAGTCTCTAATCTTTTCCAAATAGAATACTGGAGGAAGACATGGTTATCCAGAACCACATTTTAGTTCCTTCATAAGCTGTTGCTTGAAAGTTTAAAAAAAAAATGCCTACTTTTGTATTAATTAACAGATTCACAAGTCAAGGAAGTGAGAACCTGCTAGATGCCTATGCATTAAAAATAATAATAATAGGCTGATACGTTAAAAGTTTGTTGTTGTAGGCTGGGGGATGGAGAGAAAGGTGTTGCTGGCGGGGGAGAGAAGGGAAAGACTGGTAAGAGTACAAAAATGTTGAGTAAATATTTGTGATTTACCTAGCTATGGGAGAAAACACAACTATTTCCATTTTAATTCCAGGAAAACAAAAGAAAGAAAGAAAGAAAGAAAGAAAGAAAGAAAGAAAGAAAGAAAGAAAGAAAGAAAGAAAGAAAGAAAGAAAGAAAGAAAGAAAGAAAGAAAGAAAGAAAGAAAGAAAGAAACAAGAAAGAAAGAAAGAAAGAAAGAAAAAGAAAGAAAGAAAGAAAGAAAGAGAAAGAAAGAGAGAGAGAGAGAGAGAGAGAGAGAGAGAGAGAGAGAGAGAGAGAAAAGAAAAGAAAAACTAGTTTCCTTGGTGTTGAGTTTGAAAAGTGGTTTTTCTACCAGTCCAAGAGCAGTGGACATTATCCATCAGAATCATGGCAGACTACTGGAAGCACTGGATTGGTCAGAACTGGTGATGGGGCCAGTTAGTGTGGGCCTCAAGGAAGAGCTTGTATTGTTGACAGGGTAATCAATCACTTATCTTTCACAGATGCATTCAGGCACCTTTGTACTGTATCCAATTATTTAAAATGTGTTGTAAATAATATGCCTGGGGCGTTACTTTTATAAAAATAAAAAATATAAGACAGGGAAAAGTGGCTGCTCCCCCAGTTTTTCTATAGAAACCCATGAATGAATGTGCCGCTCACACTTGTTTTCATAGGATACCTTCAGTCTTGTTATAGGCAAAAGTGAAGATTCTAGCTGGGAGGTGACATGGATTTTTATATATTTCTGAGGCTAATCCTTCCCATCCCACCAAATACTACTTCAGAGAATTACTATCTACATTATCATGATTATATACTGTGTAGCTAAGATTTGCAGTCCTGATACAAGAAAAATCAACATTCAGTTCAGGGGGGAATTATGTCTATGCAAAGAGTGGTCATAATTTTAAGTGGGAGAATTAAAAAGGGGAGCTATAATTTTCAAGTCTAACCAAAATGAAAGGGACTGCTGACATCAATAGAACCCTTACTCATTTTACTAGAAATGTTGTTGAGTGCATATATTAACACTAAAAGGATTATATTGTATTTTATTCAATTGGAAGAAAGGAAGGGAGGAGGCTGTTCTGTGCCCATTAATACTATGATATCAAAATGAAAATGTATGTTTTTCAGGATGAAATCTAATAAATAATTGAAAACGACTGTGATGCCTGATACTTTACTCCCAAGTGTTCATGTCTAACTGTTCTTTTTAGATCATCTTATGGAAGCAAGATAAATGAATGCCCTAAACTAGACCTCTGTTCAACCCAGATTTGAGATGCAAATTCATTTTCTCTTTGCTAATTAAAGGAAAACAAGATAATTCTTACCTGCACATGATTTCATGTGTGAGTAATACTCTGCACATTTCTGGGTTCTTGTCTTGGCCTTCATATACGATGGCCTGTAGACATAAGCATAGTTTTAGTTAAAAGAGAATCCAATTGGAAAAAAAATTATCACAATACAGTCCTTTAATAGTTAACTATTATCGTCAGCCACGAAGCTTTACCCAGCAGAATACTTCGCTTTACTGGTTAATTGCTTCAAGACATATTGTTGAAGATCAAGCCAATGTCAATATACTTATTATGAATATATTTATATCAGTAAGTAGAATGCACCTCGGACACATGTTGGCTACATGACATTGGCCAAGTCACTTAACCTCTCCATGCTCTAGGCAACTCTCTGAGATTATAACTTGCAGAGAAAACACTGACCTGCATTATTAGAGGGATTTCCTTGACTGGGATTTCCTTATGCCAATGAAATCACAAGCTCAATCCCTATCTCTATGCCCTTCAAAATAAAAATAAACCAGTAATGGGGGAGAGAGGGGGTTAGGGGAGGAATGGATGAGAACCAGAATGTCTGACAACTTTTTAATTATATTCACTGGAAAAAAATTTTAAAGCAGCTGGTATACTTGTAAGTTTTTTTAAAAATGCTTTCATGAGAGAGCCTCACTACTCTACCACTTTCAGCCCTGAAATTAAATGTTCTAGGGAAGTGAACTAGGAAGAAGGAGGGGTGATACAAATTAGTCCATTTAACTACTCTGTCATCATCAATGTGAATCATTGTTTTGGGGAAAATCTTTCTTCACTCTAACGAGCTTGAGAACCTGCTTCAATTCTTAGACTCTCACCCACCCAAACAGAAATACGCACTGACATATGTTTGAAATGGGGGACAGCCATCAGACTGCCCACACTTAACTAAAAATTCTTCTCATCTAAATCTCAGAACCAAGAATCCCAAACCACACTCTAAGCCAAAAGTGTTTTCCTTGTATAAAAGCACTTGGGGCCTGGATGTTTTGCTTAAGTTCATAAGGAATGTAACTTGTGACTTTAGCCTACTAGCCTCTCTTTTAACCTCTACACCACATTTCCCCACTACATGCTAATATCTGTGCCAAAGAAAAAGGTATAGCTATTGGTATTCATGACATTTTGTATTAGGACGTATTTCAGCTAAACTCATACTGTATCACTGCATAATCCTAATATAACACAACTTCAAATTGTTAATAAAATTACATTTTCACACATTTACATAACCCTTAACTTCATGGTAAAAAAAACTACTTAAATTAACCCAATAGCATCCTCACTCAGTACATTCAGATATCTCATTTGCTTATTTTCACTTGTTATTAAGATGAAAGTGATTTGATTTGAAGCTAAATGCTATAGCACATTTTTCATTCCAGTGAAAGTTAAACCCAAAGCCTGTGAAGGTATGGGCATAAATAGTGGCAAGTTGTGGTCAAACCATCCTCATCAGAGTAGAAAAATGAAATGGTTACTGTAACAGGGTACTTTATGATACATAAGCAAATTGCAAAATGAAAATGTCAATAAATGAAAAACAAGTTAAAGTATCTGGCTGTGTCACATAAGTTAATGTTTTTCTAACATTGGCCGATAATCTTATATTCTAAAACATCTTCTTTTTACTGCCTAATTAGATGCTTAAATAGATTAAACGCACTAAGTAAAATATAAGTGTTCAGAAAATGAAAAAGTATTTTGCCTGCTTTACTTATTATAGCCACTTCTGCAAAACTTAAAAAGGTTAGGTAATATATACTTAGATCCAATTCAGGGTAACAAGAAAATAGAGATATACGTAAAAATATATTCTGACATTTTTTGTCAATCCCAGTGGCCGTAATACATGCTCTCCTCAATGCCCTTGATGACTTCCCTTTCAACTTAGTCTTTTCTTTCTTCCAAATGTATATGCATCTATATATATAAAATGTTCATATTTTTAAAAAAACTTGAAGTTGTGTTGTAACAGAATTCTGTAATGACATGATATTAATTTGGATAAAAATACTTCCAAATGCAAAATAACATGAGTATCAATAGTTGTACCCTTTTTTTTTTACATATGTGATGAAGAAGTACATTATGTAGGGGTTAAAAGGTTTATAAGTTCAAACACAAGTGGTAGGGAGTTTTCTCCCACTTTAATATGACTATTGTGCTTAAATAAAGACCCACTTCAAACCACATTGGCCACATCAACCTGTCTAACTTTATTGATCCTTTTGCCCCTAAATAGTACCAATCCTTCCTCCCAGCACCGCCACCAACCCACCCAATCCCCCCACCGCCCCATCCCACCTCCCCACCCCCTACCACTGGTGATGTAGTTAGTTGGACCTATCATGATATCCAATTAAGACAATATTATACTGTAAATATATTCCTGACTCGATATGATAATATGTGACCTGTGATCTCCCAGAAAATGTATTTTTGTCTTTGGCAACTGAATACCACTTGCTCTAGATTTAAGTAAATACTCCTTTTTCACAGAATGTTAAACCAGCTTTGCTTTCAGCAGACATAGTCAAAAAGGAGGCACTTTCAACATCAATTGTTGAAATTGTGGATTGGATGAGTTATGAAAATGTTGGAAACCAAGGGGTGGAGTGGAGAGAGTATGCAGCTGTTTGCCTGTCTCTTCTCCCTTTCCCTGGGCTGGCATTTGGGTGGGTTTGGGGGTTTTGTTTTGTTTTTGTTTTTCTCACACAAGGCAAAAAAAAGTACTGTGTCTATGACTTCTGAGAGCAAGATAGAAGGGGAGGCATTGCCACTTCACTCTGTGGGCAGGATTGGAATCTTTTAAATATACTAGAACCTAGATTAACACTGTTCATGATAGCATGGGATTCAGGGTTATCGAGGTCCAACTTGAACCCTATTCAAAGAGGTTTCATTATTGAAGGATCAAACAGACTGTGTTATAAGGTAGTTTCACTTATACGCCTCAACCCGGAGGACATTATTATAATACAACTCCAATGTCTAAGTGTTGGAAATGTCTAGTTTGATATGTGCATCTGACTCAGTGGGTCATCTCTGAACCTAGGCTAAACCTTGACTATATATCAGATTTGGGTTTTTTTTTTTAATTTTTCAGTTCTTTAAATTTTCTAATACTAGCCCACATAGTAACAGCCACAAATCAAATTCCTATTTTCAATATTTATCACAAATTAGCCCCACACTTCAGGAAGTGTCCAGGTAACATCTGGTAAGAAAGTTGAAGGACTTTGGACAAAAACATAGGGAGAACTTTTTGGAATTTTTTTCCTGATAAAAATGCACACTGTGAGGTCAGGAGCAAGATTTGAGAGGTGATTGGATCAGCTGGAAGATCAGAAAGGCATATAAACAGCATTCAGCTACCTTAAGTGAAGCCATTTTATAGACAGCTGGGGTGGGACCCAGACAGAGAGAGACAAAGAAGAAGGCTTATATTCATCTTACATAGTAAATCATGTTCCTGTTCAGAGTGAGAATGGCGTTGCTCAGTAAAAGCAACAGAGACAACAATGTTTTAAATAAATCAATTTGTTAATCAATGGTGAAGGGTAGAGGGGCTGCTGTTAAATTGGAAGAGGAAGAAAAGCATCTAAAATATTTTCTTTAAATAAATCAATTGATTTTGGAATCAGGTTGAGACTTGCAACATAAGAGAAAGTGCAAAATCAAGAAGAAAATTATCTAAGTCCAGTTACTTGACAGTATACGTAGCAAAACAACAATGGGGTTGATTATAAAATGAAATTTATTCATTAAGCTCTCTTTAGCCTTGATAACTTGGTAAGATCAGTAAAAAACATTTTTAACCAACCACCAAATTGTCTGAATCACTACAGCAGATTCAAATTTGAGGGGCAGAAAAGTGAGAACGAAGACCACCCTTTCTTTCTGATGTTTTTCCCACCAAAAATTAAAAATAAAAGCAGAAGGGCCATTTGGAGAAAAAAAAAAACTTCAGCTACCAACTTTCAAATTAAGCTTTTATCCAGATCAATTTCTGTAAGTTTTTTTTTGGGGGGTGGGGGGTGGAACAGAACTACTGAAGTTTCAGAACCTTACAGCTTCTCCTGTGCTGATATTTTATAGGTGGAGAATAAAATACCGCAGGTTTCAAATGGTCAATTATAAATTAAACTGGGGCATCTTTGAAAAGACAGAAATGGAAACAACGCAAAAACTCTGTTTTGAAGGACTTTTTTTTTTAAGAGGGTGCCTTCTTGGTCTTCTCAAATAGTTACCGAGTTTTAGAAGTTAATTGAAAGTTACTGTGTCTGTAAAGACAACCACATAGAGGAGCTAAAAATAAACGTGCAAATAGACACCAGGATCACACTTCAATAGAATGCCAAAGGAAATACAGAGTTAAATACTTTGGTTTTCTTTGTTTACATTGCTCATAGTTTTAACTCTTCGTATTCCACACATAATGGCCAATGCCTTTGACGTTGATTCTACTAACTCTGGTTTTAGACCACATTAAAATATTTGACTTAAAAGAGTCAGTTTTGGTGTGAAATTAAGCAGTGGCAATTAGATCATTATTGGTAAATAACAGCTCCCTAATAGCAACAATGTTTCTAATTTCCCACTTAAATCAAAATGTAATATTGAATGTTTTAGTCTCTTTTCAACACGCATAGAAACACACATACAAATAAAGTCCAAACATAAGTTGGGTCCTCATTTGCCACCTTAAAAAATTACAAATTCACAAACACAAAGTAACTCCTTCAACCAGAAATGGAGATCGCAGAAGCCTATGAGCACAGATTGTCAATGAATGAATGACCCTTTGGTAGCAAATTACCAAAAACTGAAACTAATCATAAAATATTATGAACACCTACAATGTTACCACACTATGCTATTAAACAACATATTCAACCTCAAAATCTCCTCTGCTCATCACTAAATAAAGATGCAGTTATAATGCAGGCCTAGAAAATCGAGAGAGAAGGAAACAGGGGCTCTGGCTACAGCTTGATCTGCACCAAGGAAGAGACCAGCACATCAAATATTTTTTTTTCTAAACAATAATTTCAAATGGTACTTCCAA